TTTTAATTTCGAAAATTTATAAAATTTAATTAAAGATGTTACATCAATAAATGTATACATATATAAATCTGGTAATTTTTCATGTATAGAATCAGTTTAGCTTTGAGTATAATTGAATAATATTTGTGAGAAAGTTTCAAACGATTTGATTATATATGTTTTATTTTAATTGTAAAGTATTTAATCATTCTAATACTTTGAAACGATTGTACATATCATCTCAAATAAAAACTTTATATATTATAAAACTGAAATGATTTCATCGACTAATTATATCATTCATTCTAAATTGTTTTAGATTTTAAATTCTATAAATTATAAATGCATTTATAAATATAAATTATAAACATAAATTATAAAATTAAATATATTTATAACAAAGATAATGTAATAATAATGTCATAGTTTTTAACAAATTTTTATTTCAAAATACCGTTATATTATGAATTACAAAAAGGTATTCGATTATTAAAAACTTTTTTTATTAATATTGTGATATTTATAATTTTGTAAATGTTTGTACTTTGTTTAAAAATAAATAACCCGAATTATTTGGTGTAGCATGTAATATTCATAAGTTTTTATGCATTTACAAAACTTGTGTATCTTCGAGAAAGCTCGAACGAGTTAAGGTCTACCTTAATCCGGCTATCCGATCGAAGTTGGATGTAAGCAAAGCGCTGCTTTCACAAATAATAATACTTTAATTCGGAACTAGTATTGGCCCTGGGCCAAGGCTACTACGTTTGTGATACAGTAGATGAACTGGAGAAACTTAGTACCAATGAAGTGGCGACACGTGATTCAAGAAGCATTCGGATCGAGTTTAAAATAATTGTTTTGGTTGTATTAAGCTTTATTTCCTACACGTTCATAGTTATTTTCCAATTTCTTATTTTTCGTATGACTAACCAAACATGGTGGATCTATATTCTTATTCATTGTTAATTTTTGGCACAAAATTTATCTTTTTAATCTTGCTCAAATGTTACAAAGTCGAATAATAAAATAAAGGATACTATAATTATTATAAATCAAATTTTTAGAAATTTCAATGTTTGCATTAAGATTAATTTATTTTAAATAAATATAATTCTGAATTTTCAAATGTACCATTTAAAAATAAGTCAAACGAAAATCTGAATTTATTTAATTTTTGATCACCAAATTAAATCACATATACATGCACATATCTTCAATAAATATTTTTGAGTGGTATCTACTAATTTACATATTCGACATTCTTTTTTTTGTCGATTATGTTTGTACATTCCTAGGTCCCACAAATACTAGTTATTTCTAACGACCTCGGTGTAGGCCTGACCTCTTGGAGATGCGTAATCTGGTATTGTTTTTCTTCTCATTTTTGAATTCTGTGCGTACTACATAATACTTTGTTTCAGGTCACTATTTTTTTCTAATGATATTGCAATGTGCGCATAGAAATTTCTACTAATTAATTCACTAAATATAATAAAATTTCATTTTCTATATTAATTTTTTTATTATTAAATAATTATTAAATACTTTTTGAAACATTTATTAAAGACTTTAAAATAATTATCTTCCTTATTTGATAAATTTTGAATTGAACTATAATAATAAGATAAGACAATAATTTATTTTTAAATTTATTCTACCATTTATAAACATATGATTAAATTAACGAAATTACAGAAAAATGTGTGACAATACATAGTGATAAATATAACACAAATTAATGCTATTAAAAAATAAAAATAATTAAATTATATATAGAGTCACTTTTTATTAAGCAATTAAAACAAAGCTGTACGCAGAAAATAATAGATAATATAATAATATATATATAATATATAATATAATATAAATAAATATAATATTAAAATAATATACTTTAAACAATAATTTTTACAAATTTTTTGTTATTATTGGTTTCCAAATCATATTATCTGTGATTATAATATTCTTTCATATAGTTTAATTGTTTTATCAAGGCTCAGTCTGATTTTAGGAATTATTAAAATTTCAATTATTTTTTCTATATATCATTATTTTTCTGTATTATTTAAATACACTATAATTGAAATTATAATCTAATAAGTACGTTATAGGAATAAACAAAAATTAAAATTTTTTAATAATTTGTAACTTAAATAAGTAAATTAGACTTATAGATTATTATACTTTAATTTTTTATTTTATAATTGAAATAATATTAATCTATACTATTTTAAAATTAAAAAATGTAATACTTGTGTAATATTGCAAGAAAAATATTTATTTTTGATATTAAACAATAGGATTTTTTGTTAATTTTTTCTTAATTTTTAAAATTATTTTACTAAATAATACATGTACAGTATACTTTGAATTAGTTGTACAGTTATAATAATATTTACGATAAATAATACCTACAGTAATTGTAAAAAAGTATTGTACAGACCTTACCGACGAAGTAAATTTTACAATTATTATAACACTGTAGTATTTATACATATCTTATAATAGTCAATTAATTTTAATAATAGGAACATTTTATTCAACATAATAATTGTTGTAATTGGCTGTTCATGGAAAATTATTCTAATCAGTGACAACAAGAATTTATTAAATTATTAAAAGGTTTTCACTTATAAGATGATTATATTTCCATACAATGTTTTTGAAATTGTTTTAATGTGTAAAAGTATAAAAGTATAAAGTATAAAAGTATTTTGGTAGCGAGTACATTGATATAATTACTTTATATTTCAGAAATAACAATTAATTAATTTGAAAGTTTCTACAAATATTTATCTAAATTAAACGCTCATTATTGTATTTATGTATTTTTAGATTGCTAAGTCATATTTTGCTCGCGTATTCTGAAATTACTTTGCAAGCTATTTTTAAATAGACTTGTCATCGTCTATCATTCTTACGCATTACGTATCACTACAAAATGAAATTTGCTTTTGCTTCTTTTTCAAATTTCATTAAAACGTTATTTTATTATTTAAGTATCATTTTATTAATTTGTTTTATTTATTATTATACACACATTATTTGTACATGCCTTTTTTTAATTGTATGAATATTATATATATATATATATATATATGTATCAAGTTTGTATATATTACTACATTATTACTTTACATATAAGTTTGTAAATATTGTATTTACATTTGATAGATTTTCTATTACTTCCTAATTTCAAAAATTAAAAATATTAAAACAATAATTAAATATTTGATTGGATCTCATAATATAAACAACTTTATAATTTTTATAAATAAAGTTAGTTCACAATTGTCAATGTTAGTAATGGTTTCTATAAATGTTAATTACAACTTTATAATACATCTATGTATATATATAATCAACTATATTACTGTATAAATCATGCATTCGTTATATATACCATATTAATATTAGTATAATATTTAAAAAACTAAAACATACCATAATTATTAATGATTAATGGTTTTACTATACCTTTTAATTAGAAATTCATACACCTATGATAGAAAGTAATTGAAGTCCATGAAGTTCATGCTGGTATACATCAAATAAAAAATTGGCAGAATATAAGCAAAATATTTTTGGATATATAGAGTGGGATTTCTAAGAAAATCTGTTAATTATACTTCTTAATTATATATGAATTTATATTTGAAATATAATTTAGAATTAAAGAAACCATTTGAGGAAATAAAAGGCTATTTGTGAATATATATTATATATTATATAAGATAAAAATATAAATTAATCGATATTATTTATAGTATAAATTTATTTTTTAGATAATGTACAATGTATAATATTTTTTTTACAAGGATAATAAAAGGAATGATAACAAATAAAGATGCTACGTATTGCAGAGAAAGCACACATTTATTTACACAGCTGCAATCTTGTAACGTTGATAAACAAATAAATTTTTTATAATAATGATTACAACATCAATAAATCAGCATTATAATATAATAGTAGCATTTTCTTCGTCTCTATATTAAAAATTTCATATTAATATATTAATTCATTTCTTTTTGTTTTTTTGAGAATATTTAATAATCAAATTGGAATTCCGTAAATTTCTGGACTCTAATGAAATTATATATGTTTATGTTTATATATTTTTTTACTATAAGTTTAATATAAATTATCAAATTCTGTACTCTTCATTTTTTGAGATTCGTAAATTTAAAATAAAAACACACTATGAATAATACGCTTCGCGATGCATAAAATTCTAATAATACATTCTGAAAAGGATAGTCATCGTATATTTTCGTGTCATAGTAATAGTTACTTCGTAATAACTTAAAAAACATATATAACGAACCTCATAGATTGCTTTATTTAAATGACAATTTTATGAAAATACGAATTATAAAAGAATTCGCTGAAATTTTAAAATATTAATTATTAATTTTAAAAATATTGTAAAAATTCCATATTTGGTGCATATGTAGATGAAAAATATCTGATATATTGAAAGGAACTTTAATATTGTCAGCTTTAATAGGTAATAGTCTAATTTTCTAGAGAATTTATGTATTTAAAATTATTCAATTCTATGAAATTATTAAAAAAAAACATTCTTATAAAATGAAAGAAAATAAAAGTTTAGCTAAATTCGTAATGGATGGAAGCAAAATTTACGAGTGTCTTTTTATTGAAATAGAAACTTTATTTTCATAGCATTAAAATTTACAATTAGTATGTATTTAAGACCTCATTATGTTACTATTGCTAATTTTGCATCTCCGCTTAATCTGATACTTTTATAACGGAAAGAAAAGTATATATTATAAGCATGTGCCTCTGACTAGAAAAAAATTATCACGCCTATTTTTCAAAAATAAAAAAAAATTATATTTGTGGAAATGCTTAGGCAGAAATTATTGACTTGGCACTCGTATTTTATTCTCATATTGTAACGGTCTGTGAGATACAAAATAATACGATTCTCTCTGTATTCTTTCGATCAACTGGTTATCTCTAACCTTTTAAAAATTTTTCCCCCTTTATATCTTATTCACTTTCCTGTTAAGCTCAAATGAAATAATAAATCAACAACATTTCATACCGATAATTATAAAAAAAATAAATAAAAGAAAAAGTAAATATCCCAAACGCAATGTTCGAAATTCATTAGTTTTTGTAAAATTATCTTTCTCTTGTTCGCTCTCTTTTAATCTTCATGCAGTACCACCACCACTACCGCGTCATGGTTTCGTATTTTTAATTGCAAGATTGCACCTCACCCGATACGTTTGGCGTGCATTAATTAAATTCCATATATCGATCGTCTATTACCTGACACTTGCAAGGTCGCTGATGTCACAGACGAACCCAGGCCGTTTGTTGCTGTGCAAGCGTACGTGCCAGCATCCTCTGAAAATTCAGAAATCGGGGTCAATAAAACACTAATTGGATTTTCCTATTTTCATGCTTGAAATTATACTTCTCTTGAAATATAATTTTGAAATTTTCAAAACATACTTTCATAATATTAATTTTAATATTTAATATTTCAACATTGAAATATTGATTATTTCTAACGAAAACTATTAAAATCATAATTTTAATAATTAATGTATAAATATGAAAATAACAAGTACATGCTTTCGTTTAAATATAACTTTTATCATGCAAATTTTTATTATATCTACGAACCAAAAAATTCTATACAATAATATAAAAATATTTTTAGTTGAATATAAGAAAAGTAGATATTTATTATTTTTTATGTATTTATTTTTATACTTCTATTTTCTCTCGATTATTTCGTAATATCATTATCCAAATTATAGAAATAAAATTTATAAATAAATTTGATAAAAAAATAGCAAATAATATATTGAAAAATATCCAATATGAAATTGTTTAAAATTAAATTCCAGTATACTTTATTAGGACGATTTGTCCGTTATTTTATTTTAATAGTTAATTTTTACATTCTTTCGTTTATATTATATAAATTTAATAAAATTATTTAGATACAAACCTGGAGTAGTTTGAGGTAAAGTGAGCCTACAAACACCATTTCGATAATGAACTTCAGCGTTAAAAGAATTTTCAACAATTCTGCCATCTTTAGACCATATAATATTTGGTTGTGGTTCTGCTTGGACAATACACTCAAATCGGGCTGTTTGACGATTTATTACTGCTATATCTCTCAATGGCTAAAAACGAATAAAACAAAACATGTAACTTTTCTCTTTTGTAAGAATCTTAATCAATTTAAAGAATGTTTAATATTATACGAATAAATCAAGTAATGTATTATTATTTCAAAGTTAATTAAAATATTTTATGATTTATATCGAATAAGACTTTAAAAATTATACATTTGAAAATTTACGTAAAACTATTTAATTTATTTCAATTAGAAGCCTAATTTATTACTATCGTATAAATTCTCTAAAACACTATTAGCAGTTGTATTTTATAACTATTTATAACTGCATAATTATATATTTTATGGTATTAGCGTGTACAAAATTTGCTTATTTATTTAATGAAATTATTTCAAAAAAACAAAATTTTTTAGAGTAAATGATTTGATTTTCACTTTACCTTAAAGTGATACGAGATATATTATTATATATACAAATATACATATAATATCTTATCTTTGCAAAAATTTTGATATAGTTTTTCTAATATTATATAAAATATTTTTATTAAGAGTAACGTATCTAATTATAACTTAAAATTTTGAAGTCTAAAATATTTTAATTTATTGTTTTATAAAATCCTGAATTCAAATATTCACAATATTCTTAATTACTTCATAATATTTATACTTGAATATAATTCATTTTATATTGACTATTAAAGAACACAAATTTTATCAATAATTAGAAATATAATAAAGTGTACATATAGAAAAGGATATTTACTATACCGTTATAAACAATGGCGCTTTTTTAGGTAAAATTTCGATGTAAGGTTTGACAACTTCAGTAGTAACTGGAATTATTCGTTCACCATTGGTTGTAGACCACGGCGAACCTAAAATTTAAATCAATTTATTTGATTTATTTTAATTTGAAAGAAATCAAATAATTTCTTTCAAGTTAAAATCATTACGACAAAATTATCAATACTTTGAAATTCACAATATACAGTATTCAGAAACAATATAGTAGAATTTACTTTGGAAAAAAGTGATATTATTTAAATGTCCTGACAATGAAAGATAAAAATTATTATGCAATTTAGCTTGAATTCCTACAAATTTTTGGATGATATATACAATTGCCTAAAAGGGATTTGAAAAGCCAAGTACGCAAATAAGATGCTCAAGAAACACATGAACGAGGATGAAATATGTGACTCAATGGTTTATGTACGTGATTTACAAATGTATATATATACACCACTTAGATAATACTTACTATATTAATTTCAGTAGTAAAATTGTAATACCGTTTATCTTTATTTTAAAGAAAAGCCTGCATTAGTCATTTAATATTTTCAAATTCAAAAAAATAAAATAGATCAATTTAAAAATGACAAGCAAAGTACTAATAAACGAACTATTAATAATTATAATAACTATTAATAATTCTCACAAAAAATTTATTATACATTATTTATATATATATTATTTAAAATGGTTTTTTTTTAATAAAAAACTTTTTAAATACTTTATCAATATCAGTTGGCGTAAAATATTATTCAGATTTTTACGTATTGTTATATAATTATATAATAAAAGATACTTGATTTTTTATTTTATCTATTAATCTTATAATAATGTCATGCTTTATAAAAGAATATTAATAAAATTACGTTAATAACAAGTTCATATTAGTTATAACACAGTTTAGAATTGTATATATTTAAAATACATTTTGAATAATTTCATATACATAGAATATATTCAAGATGTATTCAAGATGTATTTTCAGCATAACAACAAAATTTTAATTGTTATCGTTTAGTAATTAAATAAAAATTATTAACTATCAGTCGTGGTATTTTTAATAGAACATTTGTAGGAAGAATAAAATTAATTCACGTTTATCTCTAATAATAAACTAAGCTTTTTAAAGTTATATAAGTCTAAAAGAGAAATCGATGCTTATTGGTAACATTAAAAAATGGTAACTCCATTGTCGTCTTTATCATCGTCGTTCGTGTTTGTTGAGTGATACCTGACGTTGATTCGACGTTACTTGATGGTCCACCTCCGAAATGTGGACTGAGACTTGGTAAACTGGGACTGAGAGAAACTGGACTTGGAGATATCGGATCCCACTTAGGTGACGGTGACGATGTTGGTATCAAAAAGCTTGATGATATCGGTACCTTGTGTCCCAGCCCTTTAAAATCCTCAACTTCCGAATATTCGCTCTCCGAGGTCGGCTCCCACTTAACGCTCTTGCCGAATTTGTTAACTGACTTTCGCTGATAGTTCTTGTCTTTACCGAAACCATTCTCTTTGCAATATGTGAATTCATGAATGATTGGTACTTCAATATCACTAGGTTTTCGATTGTTTTTGTAACTCTGACTGTGATTCGTAGTCATATGTTTGCTTTCACCTGGTAGTACAACGCCAAACTCGTAGCCAAAATCGTATTTGAAGTAGATTAGACCCGTGTCTGGATCGATGTGTTTTGAACCTGAATTGGCGTAGGTTTGTCTTTTTTGATTGGACAAGCGAGAATAATTCGGATGCAAGAACACATTTGTTAATTCGAACTTAGGGAGCAAAATTCCATATACAACGGTTTAAGGATATTTATTCCAATTTTCAAATGTTATAGAATATTTAAAAAGATAAACAGTAAAAAATAAAAATATAAAACGAAAAGACTAGCTATATAAAAAGTAAGCGAATTATTTATAGTATCAGCATGAGAAATATTTTTATAATTAACTATTTATTTTCTTTATTAAACTACTATATCCTTACTATGTTTAAACTATTATATCTCTTAATTCAGATATGAATTAAGTTTTAGTAACTGGCTATACTTACGCGTGCGCGCGCACGCACACACATACAATTAATTTAAGTATGTAATAATTTACTTTTGAAGATTATTATTTTCAGTTTTAAAACAAATTCTATGACATTCAAAAAATTTAATAATTATATAAGCATATCCTAAAATTTTTTAACATACGAATTTTAATAGATAATTTGTTAAGTATTCTAGATATTGTTGAAATATTTATGTTTTTTTTTTACTTTTTCAAATTTACATATTTCAAAAAACTTAAAATACTTTAAGTCATAGTAGTTTTACTATATAATTCAAATGGGATATGAAACAAAATTAAATTAAAGTAAGTTAAATTAAAACTTAAAGATTAAGATATTTTAAAATTATCTTATGAATATGTAAAATTGAAAGACAAATTTCCATTTTATTGTATAAATATTCGCATTTTATTATTGAAAATATTTTAGGCCATTCTTAGTTTCAATTATAAACAATTAATTAAAAACATTTTACATTGAATTTATATTATATTATTAAATCTAATATTTTTATAGTTAATAAAATATTATAATTATAAAATAAATTGTTAAAAGGTATTTTATAAATAATTCCAATTAAATTACAATACAAATTATATATATTGTTACGGAAAATAAACTCGTCTTCGTCTTCGAATAATATATTTAGCTATAAAACCGATTTTTCTAATTATCATTTTAAAGTTAATACAAAATGTATCTAAAAAAATTAAAAAATTAAAATATAATTATTTATATATTTATATTGTTTTTAATTCTTAAAAAAGCATATTTTTATGTGTAGAATAAGCATGTATAGCTTATATCATTTTTCAATATTATGTATATTAAGATAAGACGTAATAAAGTATAAAAACAACATATTTCATTCCTAATATTAAAATAAGATTCTTAAAGTTTTCTGTAATGAATTTTTAGTATCTGAATATAACATCATTTTGTTGCTAAGTTAAAATTTTTAAATTATTAAAATAAATTAAAAATAGATAAACTTACGTTAATTGCACGTTTCTCAAAATGCATTAACAAACCCCGTCGAATTACATGACCAAATTTTTTTATTTTTAAAGTATAATTCATAGAATGAAGTTTTAAGTAATACAAAATAATATATTTTTCAAATAAAAAATCTATTGTAATATTTTTAATGATGAAATCATAAGTACATTAGAATTGAGTAATTTCATATACAAATAATGATTTTCAATTTTTCTTTTCTTTTTTTGTTCAGCTTTTGATAGAAAAATTCGAAATTAATTTTGTTTATTATAAAATTATAAAATATTATAAAATTATAAAATACTTATTTGCAATTTTAAAAGTCGCATTAATGATTTAATGAAAATTATTGAAATAAAAGATAGTCTAAGCAGGCGCATTAATGTGACTTGTTGATAGATGGCTCATGTCCAATATACCTTTTTCCAGTATAAGATAGTTGTCGAAATTAAATTTGCTTATATAATTATATTTTAGATGGTAGAATTGGAATAAATAAATAATTACGGAGAATCTTATAATCATATAGTAATATGCAGCTGAATCAAAGATTTTCGCACATGCATGAATTTGTTATGTTACCGTATTGAGCAACCCTGGATTCTTCCCTATATGTTCTCGGTTCGTCTCCGCCATCGGTTACGCTGCCGACGTCTGTTGACATCGACTGTTTCAGAATCGGCTTACTGTGTTTCTTTAAATCAGATTGTATCTCACTTGCAAATTGCTCTGTTTTCGATTTAAAGCTGCTCGTCATGTTGCTTATATGTTTCGTGGCTATGTCTGCGAATTGTAGATGATTCAAATGCATCATCGATCTTTCCTCTTTATTAAGTATACTTTCGATATTTACATGGATTTAGCCATTTATAATACCGCGATATGCATAAATAAAACGTAAATCTTATGTATAATTAATATAATGTGTAATAATTAAAATTCGTTAATTATAAGAAATATTATCGCGTTTAAAAAAAGAAGAAAAATTTCCTTAATCGTCTTACGATTCGCACTCTTCTTGAATTCATATGCAGGTGCATATCCAAATTCCGGTGGTGAACCAGGTTTCAGATTGTAGTTTTCTTCAGACATTTGTTGTTGCCGGTTAATGGTCTGTATATGTGTGGATCGCCTCTCGCTCTCAGATTTCTCAATCTCGGAATCGCTTGGCCAGGTAACTATAGGCGATTTACAAGTTCGAGTTTTTGGTGGTTGTACTTTACGATATTGCGGTTCTTCCGTTTCACTTTCACTAGGTGCCCATTTAGCGCGAATTTTTCTGGTTTCTACATCACTTTCATAATCGGATTCACGAAAATGACCTTGAATAAATTTCGTAGGCGTCGGAACATTGTAGGAACTTTTTTTCTGTTGATCACCGCCAGTTGGTCCAGTGCATCGATTTATTTCGTGTTGTACTTGATTCTCACCGAATTTAATAACTCTGCTTGTTTGTTCAACTGTGACTATTCTTCTCGTGTTCTCTGTTGATTCATCCATGCAAACAGTCTTTTTCATTTCCGTTCCTACGGCATTGTGATAAGGTACGCCACTGCGACCCTCATAATACGATTGCTTCTGTGGCTCATAAATAATTTCTGGTGGAGTATCAGGGAATGACGCAGATTTAGGTCTGGGTCTTTCATCCCTTAGACTTTCTTTCTTAGTGACAGTTTCCTTCATTGTTTTGGTAAATGACAATGGAGGTGCCGATGATTTTCCTATTTAGAACAGAGGTGTTTTCTGACGAGTGATATATGATGTGATGTCTAATAAAAGTAGAAGCACCATAAACTCGAAGATAAATGATTATAAGCGTAAAATAGAAGAGTTTCAGACAGACGCTGCAGTGATATTAAAAAAATGTTAGGTATTAAATAAGTAAACAGAAAAAGTTAATCCACCATTTACAAGGCTGAGCAAATAAATGATCGAAAGTAGAATGCTACGAGAAAGAAGTTATAAAGTAATTCGAAGCAGACAAAGGGAAATGAGAAAGCAAAAATTTTTTCATTTACATAGTGTTCGTAAGCTGGAAAAGAAATTAATAAGTAAAAACAAACAAACTACTAGTTACAAATTTGTATACATGGAAAATGTCCCAAATTCTTGTACGATAAATTTTATTATTTTTCTATATGATATTATAATGTGTACTATAGGTGTAATTCTTGTAAATTACAAAAATATACATTCATAATAATTCATTTGGGTACAATTTAACCATCGTTAAAATACATTTGCATTTATATTTCAAATATATTTATTGTTTATTTAGTTCCTGGGACATTCACCTTAGAAGAAGAAATAGCGTTTGGTACGAGCTTTAAACGAACCTGAACTAGAAATGGATGATTTCATTGATTTTGAAGATGATGATGTTTTAGTATCTGATACTGTTTGAGCAGAATTTTGAGACTTCCAAAGAGATGATATCTTACTACTATCATAATCACTTTCGTAATCACTTTCACGAAACTCACCCTTAGAAAATCTCGATGAACATTGCGACACCTGGGATTTATCCTGTAAATAGCAAAAAATAATTTAAAAAGTCGTGAATTCATATATAATAAATAAAAAACATCTATCACAAAAAGCAGTAAACTTTACGAATAATTAATGAATGGAGTCGTTATTATTCAATTAAAACACAACTCATTAGTATTTTTTATAGCAATATAACAGCTAAATATATGTCCTGTTTTAGTTAAACACAAAATTATATTCTATCTAGGGACATAGTAGTTAAGAATTTTTTTAATTCCAACACTTAAGTAATAAAAACCAAACGTCAATACAAGGTTAATATACGTTGCTTTGTTCTTCCGAACCTTTAAAGGAGTAGTTCTAAATTGTTGTTGTGGTGACTTCTCGATTATTTTCTCGACGAAAGAAGTTCGTTGAATATTATGTTTTGGTATAGTGGAGTAAGAGTGAGTTTGTGAATATAAGGATAATGTATCCTCTTTTTTTTGTTGAGCATTACTGTAACTTTTAGTTTCCATAAAACTTGCTTTTGATTCAGAAAACGATTTATGTTGTTGCAAATGTAATGGTTCATCTGTATCGGCCATATATCCACTTTCTTGCTGTAGTACTTTAGTTTTCATTATTGGTGATTCATGTTTGAAAATCTTTGGAGTAGGTTTTGTTGGCTGAACATATATCGGTGGCGAGCCAGGTTTTGGTAATATATCATATTGTTGGGATTGGCTACTTGTTTCTTGATATCGAAAATCTTTTTGATAATTTGAAGATAATTTTTTAATTGAAGAATCACTAACTGTAGGGGTAATAACCGATGGAATATCAAAATTTGATGGAGGTATTGGTTGTAGTTCTGTTGATTTTGGTCTACAAGGTTGGACATAAACCGGCGCTTTAACTCTCCTATAACCATTTGTACATTGTTCATTGTCACTTACATAAGATTTTAATGTATTATCAACTTCAGATTCATAATCACTTTCGCTATAAAACGAACTTCTTAAGTATTTATTTGACACATCGGTTGGTTGTGATTGTTCTGTTGGCGTATAAATTTTATCTCTGGAAATACGTTCATGTATAATAGAAGGTATTGTTCGTACTCCACCTGTTGGAATAAAAGCAGCTTTGCGATCTAATGATTTTTCCAAAAAATTTTCTCTTTTTTCGATCTTCTTTTCATGCATATATGGCCCTGGAGTGTATGCTAACTCTGGAGGAGTTCCAGGTTGTAAGTCAATTGAAGAAGCTTCATGATAAAGTTTAATAGAAGGTTTTGAATAGTCTATTACTTTCTTAACTAATGCGGGTGCTTTTAAATCGCTCCCGTCAGGCCATGGTCTAGCATTTTGTTTCTTCGTCGATTCATACTTTTTTTCTGTAGTTTCCGTTTGTTGAACACCACATTCTGCTATATATTTTTCCGTGACTAATTTTTCTTCGACAGTATTTACAGTATGACCTACTTTAATAGTTTCCGCATTATAGATGATCGGTTCAGGTTTAGGAGGTGAAGCTGGTGGTATGATTTTATTTTCTGTAACGTGAATCTCTTTTGATCCAAATGATTTCTTTTCCAAGGAACTTGAAGATTCGATAGTAGTCTGGGTGCAACGATATTCTGGTTTCAATTCAATTTCATGTTTTGATTCGGACGAAGAAACTTTATAGCTTTGCTCTGGAAGACTCCATTCTTGTTTATCAGTAAAAGATGTTTTTTGTTGTGGCGGCCAAGATTTTTTACTTGAATCAGCACTTTTATGTGCCCAAGATTTTTCCATTGTTAATGCCTCTGCTGATGTAGATGAGGAATACCCATCGTAATTTTTTTTTTCTTGAAATTTTTTTGTATTACACGTGTCCTCGATAATATTTTTATCAAGCTCAAAAGGTGGTGGAATAGAAAAAGAACACTCTGGTATTGTTTCTGGCGTCTTTGATCGGACTGGTGGTGGAACTGAAGAAGGAAATATTTTAACACCTCCAATCGGTGCATCAACCGAAGAATAACTCGCGAATGATTCTTGTAATTGTTTTGCTTTAATCGAAACATCAGGACGTCTTTTAGTATGCTCGTCGGGCTTTGGCGCATATCCAATTTCTGGTGGTGGCTCAGGTATAAGATTGAATCCCTTTAACATTGCTTCAGCACTTTCTGACTGTGCTTCTAATTTAGAAATAGTCAAAGTACCATGTATTGGTGATCCAGATGCTGTAACATCTTCTAATATAGTTCGACTACATTGTAAAGGTGATAATTTATGTTCTTCATAAGGAAAATCAAACATAGTATTATCGATTCCACGTGATGATGAACCTTTCTGAAATTTATTAAATATTTCCTGCACACCTTTTTTGCCCGCTTGAATATCTGGTTTTGGTAATTCCTGACTAGCTTCTTCGAATTTGGTTGATCGTTCATAATTTTTAGTCAATTGTTCAACTCTAACATCACATCCAGGACCTGTTCCATCATCTTCATTTGTTAATTTAATCATTTCCCGAGGTGCTTTAGAAAAACTATCGCTTCCTTTTGATATTGATTCAAAGAAACTAAGAGCATCTTTACGTGCCATAGATGATGTTTCGATATTTTCATTTTCTATTATTTCGGATTTTCCATCAATAATATTATAATTACTATTATTAAGTTGTATTTGTTCATCTTTTTGCGAAGCATCAAATGGTGCTGGCTTATGTTCAAGTTTCATATGAAACTTTTGCTCTGACTTTGTTTCACTTCTATGCGATTCAATAGAAGACGATATCATTTCTGACCGGGATACCTTTTGAGATTCATCCGTTACTTCGGATTTAATAGTTCGGATCGTGGAAGACGAGGATGTGGAAGGGAATGGTGTTTTTATTTCAGCACTTGGCTGAATCATTGTTGTTGTGATTTGTTCCGTAGTTAGATTTGCGCCAGGTATCTCAGTTGGCTGTCCGCAACAAAGCTATTATTTAAATTATTTTTTTTAAATATTTTCGCAATTTTGTAACTATTAAAATACAGTTATTATATAAAATATTTCTATATTAAAATTAAGCATACAGAAATATGTTTCGTATTCACCTTTCTGGCATTTTTATCTTGGACATTTTCATAAACTAAAGTCTTGTGCATTTCAACCATTGTATCAGGAGTTGGCTCAAATACAGCAAAATCAGCAATACTTTGCGCCTCTCCACCAGCATTTGTTGCTTGAACCATGTATTTTCCTGCATGATCCTTCTCCGCTAAATTTATTTTTATATATTTTATAATATTTACAACAAATAGTAATTTAATAATCCATCATAAAATCATACCTTTATCAATAAGTAAGAAATAACAATTTCCCTGTTGTTTCATTCTAAATTCCGATTTAATAAGAGGTTCGTCATCTTTATACCACGTAACGGTCGGTTCTGGTGTACCTGTAATTTCAACTTCCATAATTACTCTATCTCCTTTTTTCACTACTTGTGCTTGAAGTCTTCTACCAAATACAGGTGGAAAAATAGTCTCTGTTTAAATTAAACAAATAATAATAATAATTATATTATTTAAATTACATAATTCTAATTATTATATTATAAATTATTACTTTTCACAACCAGATCTGCTGTACTGCTCGAATTACCTACATCATTTCTAGCTGTACACGTATATCTACCAGCATCTTTAACAGTTACATCTCTTATTTCTAACTTTACGTGATTATGGTCATAGCTTACTTTAAAACCATTCTTTGACAGTAATTCTTGTCCGTTCTTAGCCCAAGTAATTACCGGTTGTGGAAACCCTACATTGTACACAAGAGTTATTATTATATAATAGACATAATGTATATTTAAATATAATATATTATTATAATATATAAAAAAAAATTACCATCAACAATTCCTTCAAGCACAATATTTGACCCTTGATCAACTATCATTCCAGTGATAGGTGTAACAAAACGTGGAGCAGTCTGTTTTCTACAAGGTTTTTGTACTTGTATTTGATGTTTACATTCCCTTTGCTTTGTGCCTCCTGAATCTTGAGTGACAATAATCGTTTTTTCTTGTCGGATTTCACCCGGTGCATCTTGTACAATTCGTTCGTATTCTTCAATTTTTTGTGACTATTATTTAGAATGATATAATAGCATTAAAAAATTTAATTATATCATGAAACTCATAAAAATAAACAAACATAAAAATTATTTTAAAATATAATAATTATTGAAATAATAAGTACATTTAAATATGCGTTTAACAATTTATTGTTTAAAGTCGTTGTTACAATTTATATCATAATTTAAATTACATTTTTATTTGATATAAAGGCGTCAAAATAAATGTAATTTAATTACGAAAATGTTTCTTAACAGACAATGGATTTTTTAATTTCAAATTGTTTTATATTTTAAAATGAATTTTTAAAATAATGTATGTATATACGTTTACTAAAATGTTTGCTTCTGAAAAAATTAACGCCAACAAAATAACTTTGAACTAACCTGCACGACGGGTGCTGCCCCGTTATATGCATTGGAGTTCTCGGAGCTATGTGTTGTTTTTTTCATGCACAAATTTGTTGGATTTAAAGGGCAACTGGAAAGTTTGGAGGAGCTAGTGGTTGTAACGTATTCCTTCTTCATTGTACTGTGCATTGTGGAGGATTCCGTTATCGATGAGGAAGTTTTTGTCAACGTCTGACTATCACTCAGACCACCTTCATCCGTCGTCTTCTCGCTTGTGAAGTATTTGTGGCTATTACTAGAGGCCTGCATTTCGGTAGTTGCGTCGGGTACTTGGATTGTTTCGATATTCCCCTCTACTGCTGTAATCCCACCACCTGTGCATATAATAATGATTACTCCATATATTGAGGGATAGTTAAAGACACTCAAGTAAGATAATTAAATGCTCGTGAGTTTTGGCACGAGTTTGGCAAAACGTCACTGTCCTTGTCACAGTAATCGTTTCTTTTTTTTCAGTTGATGTCCACGGATTCTATCCTTGTTGATAGTATTCTTTCATCATTTTAAAAATAACGATAAATGCTACCATTCATATTCGTTTATTTTAATCCCTCGTATAGTTTTTAATTTTAAGATGTTATACAAATTTTAACATAATGTATGTACAAAATAATATTCCAAAAAAGTGATACACTTTTAATTTTCGGACATTATTTGTTTCAATAAGTTGTAAACAATGAAAGTCATAAAATATAATGAATTATTAAAATATTATTTAATACGTGAAAAAATTAATTCCTTTATTTGTAATATTTTATTTTAATAATTCAATATTTTTTTAAATCAATTCTTATAAATATATTATATTATTATATATATATATTAGTAATTCTATGTCGATAAATTTTATTTTCGGATACCTTTATTATATCTTATAGAAAATTTTAATTAAACGTTATAATTAATTATTATTATTATTTATTATCCGAAGATTGTTTTATTCTAGTCAATAAATTATTAATAGTATTATATATTTTCATTATCACAGAAATCATTATTTCAATTATTTACATTTTCAATTACTTTCTGTACTATATTAAACAATGAAAATGATTTATACTCCCTAATCATAAGTAAAATAAATATTTTTTTTTTAATTGAAAAAATGTAATATATAACAATTCATATACAAAATATATAAGAAGATAGAAATTTATTTAAAAAAAAAGAATGATTCATAATTACATAAATGACATTCTTATATCTATAAAAGACTATCAGACAAATACAGATAGATAATGCAATAATTGCATTCCATTTAGATACTGAGTGCCTCAAGTACTATAAAAAGTAATCGTTATCTGACTAACCAATGAACTTGAAAAGCTACATTTATAATAATGGTTATGTATACATGAATTACAATGCCACAAGTCAGAGCAAAATTATAATGTACTTCCTGATGTCATTTGACTACTTATTATTGTCTAAAAATTTCTTTACATTTAAATATATTTTTAATCGATCTGAGACGAATGATCGTTTGAAAAATGTTATTAATTATAATTTATAATCAAGTACTTACAAAGTGCATTAAAACAAAATGTTTAACATTTCAATGATGTTTAGCTTATTATTCGGCTGTTAAATTGTTAGATAACATACCGAATAGAAAAGTATTAAAGTTAGTAGAACGGGAGAGTGTTATTTTTCTCGAAGCGAAGGTTGGTAACAAAATTAAATTAAGCGTCACCTCATACGATTCTCCTTTTTCATACTCCTCCGAGATCTCGAGCTTCTCTCTTTTTGTAACCAACTACTACATTTGTTGCCCCGTTTACTTTTATTCTTTCTCTAATTCTTCACATTCTTCTTTTTTTTACAAGGCTATTAAAATATTCTTACACTCAATATTAAAGCGATTGTTATGCTAATGTATGTAAAGACCCATATACATGAAGTATATCGATCAATCTAAGTGAACATACAGGGTTTTACTCTCGTCGCCGTTTCCCTTGAGTTGAACAGAAGGCAACGCGAAAATAGACGGCCTGATTCATTAAATGACGAAAGCAAAAGACGTGCAATCACACCTGCTACTATGTTATACCGCAACTGGTCCAATCAAATTTGCTACAATTCATCTAATGGAATTCACTAATTGCGGGAGCATGATCTTGAAAACGTGTTTTGAATTGAAAGTATTATATTGAATTTGATATTGAAATTATTATATTTTGTAATATTTTATTTCGTTATTTTATATATATCTATATAAATTTTTTTTATTCAAAATCTTGTACAGTGAGTAGTTCTGAATATTTTTAGACTACAAATAAATCGAATTTTATTATTGTATTTTATTATTATTTTATTATTATAAATCGAATATTGAAATTGTAAGTGGTGAATAAAAATTTTTTGTATAACTGAATTATAGTATTATGAAGAAATTAAATTCTTCGAAAAATATTTCAAAATATTAAGAGATCCTTTTTTCTTACATTTTGAATATTTTAATTATTTACAAGTAATAGAAAAAATACAAGATTCAATAGTATACGTAAGTGTTTAAAAAGTATGAATAAAATAGTAAAATAAATAGTATTAAAATAGTAAAATAGTAAAATAAAATAGAAAACAAGTATATCATCAATAGCCTCAAACACTAATTTTTTCGAGATATTTTCATATCGTTATATTGTAAGTGTTAATTATCAAGTTTGAATTATAAGTTTACAAAAGGACATAGATAACTTCATCATGACATGATAACGTTACCATTTGAGCATTAATTTCTTCAATGCTTCCATTACTGTTTCCGACTATTCTCATAAACATCTACGAGCAAATATATATCACCAACGATAGTGAAGTACACTATATACAAGCTCTTGAAGCCTGTCGTTGGCATCTCTCCAAAATATCGTGCAAATAAATCCAGATAAATTCAGATCCGAGAATGCGCAACTATCTGGAACGAGAAATTCAAGCCGACTGCTGGCTCGCATCTCTCGCCAAACTGAGAACTCAAGACTTTTAATCGAACGCTCGAATTTCGAAAACGAGTTACCTATTTCCATGCACGATTTTCTAACACATCTGTTATCCATATTTGGATATAAATTAATTTAGAATTTTAATTTTATTAGAAATCTAACATTTCAAAGCACATTGATTTTTCGATAATATGTTTAATATATTTTTTTATTTATTATATTAAAGGATAATTGTATGTTAATTACGTTAATTTATTTTAATTACCTGAAAATTATTCAATCGAATTTACACATGTACTTCGATGCACTGGTTTATCAATTTATTTATATGATTATAAAATTTTTAAACGAACGAAGAATTAATTTAAAAGTATAATAAATTAAAGTTTAAAAATAATAGATAAAATATTATTAATAATTATATAAATATTAATGTGTAAATATAGTAAATTTTTGATTATTAAATATTAATATTAAATGAACATAAATATATAATTCTTATATCAATATAAGAGATATCATAAAATAAATTTTCATAAAAAATTTTGAATATAAATATTTATTTATCTAATTGAGGTTAGTGCATTTAAAATAACTTTCAAAGTAATTCTGAAATTTTATACATTTTAATTGATATAAAGATAAAAATTATTTTATAAAGCATTTATATAAATATTTCAGTTATTAATTAAGATAATAAATAATTTTAAATAGGAACGTAATAATATTGTAATAAATAGTTTTCTAATATTGGGTAAATTTTTACGATAAATAGAAAATATATTATTTAATTCTGAATATAATTAAATTAATTATATTGCAATGCAACTACAGTGACACTTTTTTTTAATATAAATGAAAACTACTATATTGTCAAAAATATCAATAATTTAAATACACTTGAATTGTTAGCACTAATCAGGTCATTTAAGGTTAATAATACATTGCATCTTATAAAATGCTTACAAGGTGACTTTGACATTGAGCAACCAGTCAAATAGAATACGGAAAATATAATGAAGTCGTAAACACCCATAATTGTTATTAATAGTTACTAGTTATTTTCATGGCACACATCTATTAAACAAATCTTGATGTTTAATGATGAGGGTAATATTTTATTATGTTTATAGTTAGTATAATAAAAACTTTATTCTATTTTTAAATTTAAATTCTTTTTTAATTATGTCATTCTTTTCTAAAAGACCCACCTCGATGAATTTCTTTAGTTATTGGTCATATTTTAAATAAGTATACAATTATTTGTATATAGTTAAATTATTTGTTAATTAAATAATAAGTAAATTTTGTTTAAATTAAGTGGCTCAAATTAATAAGCCATCATCATTAGATAATTGAAACATAAAAATACATTATCAAGCTTTCCAATAATATTGAGCTCAACTCTGAAACTCATCTATTTGGTGCTTTATTATATTCAAGAACTTCAATATAGTAACGTGTGTATTATTTCAATTACATCACAACATTCACTATATAAACTAAATGTCGCACTTCAGTTCTTTTCGATAACTCGTTAATTAACTTTAACTCAATGATTGAATTCTTTCACTTTCTCTCTCTTTCTCTCTCTCTCTCTCTCTCTCTCTCTCTATATATATATATATATATATATATATATATATACATAAGTTTAAATTCCAATACAACAGCAGAAAAACACTACATCGCTGGTTTCATTCATCTATGTGTTAATTAAACGGTATAATAATTTAAAACGAATCGCTAAAAAAAAATTATGTTTTGTTAACTTTCATCAGTATACCTTTGCTTCCCGACTGACAGCTTCTGGTTACCTCAGCTTTCGATTTTATACACTTTCATTTTCCAGTATAGTTAGCATGGACCAAAGTTTCAATTTGATTTTTAAATTGTTAGAATTCCATCTTTATTTTTAAAATTCTGCTTCTATGCACTTTATTATCTTTTACTTGATTTCAAATACTTATGTTTTCAATGCTTTCTATATATGAACTGATTTTGACACCGCTTGATAATTTGAAGGGTTCAAAGCAGGTGATGAATGCAGTCGGCAAGATATTATATTTTAATATAATTTTTTAATGAGATAGCAGGGCGCGTCGATTAAAAAATAGTTTAAAATCGGTCGTTCGAATCGAGAATCTGCCCATCGGTATCGTGATGATATCCAGTAACAGTCAGATCAACACGCAATGAAGCTATGTTTAATCACTCGCGTTATTCGATAGTTGTGGTGGCGGTGGTGAAGTTTGACGGGTAGACACACGACCACATTGAAGACAGCGACGGCGACGGCGACGATGACGACGAAGATGACAACGACTCTTCGCAGTTAGTGAGTATTTGTGCCGACGAAAATAACGTATTTCTGACCATGCCACACACGCACGCGTATCTTTAAAACAGTTGCCCTTTCTTTTTCTTTACTGACTTTCTCACATAGTCTCTTTTCCCATGCCTCCCTCTTTTTACGATTCTCTCTCTCTCTCTCTCTGCCTCTCTCTCTGTCTGTCTGTCTGTCTGTCTGTCTGTCTCTCTCTCTCTCTCTCTCTCTCTCTCTCTTTCTCTCTCTCTCTCTCTCTCTCTCTCTCTATCTATCTATCTATCTATCTATCTATCTATCTATCTATCTATCTATCTATCTATCTATCTATCTATCTATCTATCTATCTATCTATCTATCTATCTATCTATCTATCTATCTATCTATCTATCTATCTATCTATCTATCTATCTATCTATCTATCTATCTATCTATCTATCTATCTATCTATCTATCTATCTATCTATCTATCTATCTATCTTTGTCTCTCTGTCTCAGTCTTTGTCTATCTATCTGTCTCTGTCTATCTACCTGTCTCTATATTTTTCTATGTCTCTCTTGCATATACTCGTACTAACAAAAGTTGTTTTTTATAATTAACTTAATTCATAAATTAAATAGATTGCTTCAAAATGCATTCTAAAATTTTAGAGCAATGAATTTTTTATATGAAATTTTCAAATAACAAATAATTAAGTTTGATATGTCTAACGTAATTATAAAAACTTAATTGTAAAAAAAATGATTTCAATCATACTAATCAAAAGTAAATGTATTATAATTGTAGTATTTTATTGTATTGAAAATAAATAATATTTACAATAATCATTTTATAATAATCATGTTTATTCCTAAAAAGATATGAGCTTTCATTTTATAAAAATAATAAAAATTAAATAAAGTAGTTTAAAAATTTAATATATACTATGCCAATTTTAACGTAAAATTCAGATGCTAGTTATGCTTTATAGTAAATACATTGTAATTAATACCCATTTCATTTTAAATTTACGTGTTACACATTTCTTAAATATTTTGAGTAGTACATCTTGAATAATTGAATTGATTAATTTTAAATATACGGACATTACAATTATTCAATTTGTATTATATTAATTTAAAATATTAAATATATATATATATATATATATATATATATGTTTACTTATTTTCCAATATATATAAACACGTAATAGCTCTAAATTCTAAATAATTTTAATATTCTAAATAACAAAATAGATAATTAATTAATAATAAATTATTTGATTAATTTACTAATAATATAATATAATATAATATAATATTAATAACAATTTTCAAAAATAAATAAATTTTATTGAAGACAATTCGTTAAATAAAAATTATATATGAGTTTGGATTTTAAAAAGTGCTTCTCTTTTAATTTATTAGATAAAACTTAAAATCAATTCTAGGAAATAAGAATAAAGAAACATTAATAGTATTTAATGCCTTTTTTTTTATATAGTCTTCATATAGTATTCTCTTGGAATAATAGTTTTATAATCAGATAGAGAAAATCGATATTGTCTTGAATGGAGGCAGGGAAATTTAAGTATTAATAACTCGTGGCACCGTTGCATGAGCTTCGACTTTATTTTCGCTCCGATGTCCCGCAACCCCGATTTGTCGCTTGCTAGTAAAAGTAGTAAAAGACGTAACGCATGTCTTATTCTATCTCTTTTCTTTTACATGTAAAAAAGAAATAAAAGAACAAAAGGTCTTATGTGTATACGTATTCGTGACAGATACTTAATTCACTGATAATATTTTTCGTAACGGCTATACACGTTAACACAGCCGAGTAATGTGGATTTGACATCAGATGACGTTTAGAGTGTTTTAAAAGTTTGTTTTTTTTATACTGACACGCTTTAAAAGCATAACAGATTTATGGAACTCGTAAAAGTTCATTATATACTTTATGGGTATTCATAATAATTTAATTATGTTTTATATTTTCATTATAAATTTTATATAAAATAAATATATTTTACTTATATTACTATATTTTAAATTTTTGCACCCTTCATTATTTTATATGATTATGACCATTAATATGGTTTTATAACAAATTTATAGTATTTTACAAATAATACTATTCTTCTTTTTTTTACATTAACAGTAATAGTGAGCTACGAAATTAAAAATGAAGAATATAAGAGGTAAATATTGTTTTTAAAATTTATTTTTTATAATTATTCAAATAATGAATAACCTTTTTAATTAAATGAGAAAAAATTAAATATATATATATATATAACGATGCGATTAAAAATATTTATATATACAAAACGATTCGCTTTATTTAATAATTAAATCAACCTACAGTCGGATAGTTTTTAAAATGTGATAAATATAATTAATAAATAAATATAATAAATTTTTGTAGACATATAAACAAATTTTTTCATTTCTTTATATGCATTTATTATAAGAAATAGAAGAAAAATGATTCAGTATAAAAAAATTAATTTCAACATACCAACTTCGATTGTTGCCTCGCATGTGACTTTTCCAGCTGCATTTTCCGCAATGCAAGAAATGTTGCCTCTATGAACATCAGCTACTTCTGGAATAGTCAATACTTGACGATCGCCGCTAACAGAAACTAGAAAATCTTTTCCATGAACTGGTCGGTCGTTAAATAACCATTGAATCTATATAAAATAAATAATTTTCTAAATTATGATGTAATAAATAATTATTTCTAAAATTATAAATATATATATATATATATATATATATATATATATATGTATATTAATATAAAAAAATTATATTTTTAGATTTTAAGGTTTTAAAAATTAAAAAAAATTGTATTTGTATTTAAAACAACTAACAAGAGAGTTACAGAAAAATTATGCTTTTACAATTATTTTCGTTTAGATTTATAATGTTATAAACGTGATAAATAAAATCATTCTAATGACTATTATTTACTTCCAAAAAATTTTATTTATTCAACTACTCTCATGAATTATTATGTTTTTATAAGAAATGGAACAAAATAATATTTAAAGTAAGTCACCGCTAGGCTAAGCACATAATTCTTTTACAAAAATATAAATTAATAGCAGAATACGAAAATATATGAAAATATATAAAATTATATGAAAACTTAAATCTTTAAATTATTAAATTATTAAATAACATTATATATTAAAACTTAAATAAAAATTACTATGTTAAAAACCAAGCAAAATAGTATTAGATATTTACAAGTAAATATTTATTGTTATTGTAGGTAATTTCTTAAATATTATATACAAAATATAGTTCTTACAAACATTAATCAAGTACACATTTTAAAATAAATTAAGATTAAGTATTTAAAGTATCTTTATCACATAAATAGATTTTTTTGTTCAATTCTTTTATTCTATTTAAAAATATCAGCTTTTATAACTGTCATAATTTGAACGTTGAAATATTTAGTATCATTTATTTTTATTTTTATTTCTGTCCAAAATCAATTAAAACGTACTGTAAGTATTATATATAATAAGTATTGGATGTTAATAGTATTAGATCTTTCGAATTTTATGTGTTTTCATTTAAAATTGAGTTTAAAATAAAAGAAAAATGCACTGACCTTAGGAGCGGGCTTGCCAATAACAATGCACTCAAATTTAGTCGTGATTCCTTCTGGCACCGTCCTGCTCTCGAATTTCTCTTTGAAGTACGGTGGCACGAATTTTTCCTCCATCTGTACAACATCATCTTTACGCTGGAAGTCGCCGAGAACCTTGACAACGAGCTTGGCAAATGATTTCGCTTCACCCACACGATTCGTTGCCTTGGCCGTGTAATTGCCCTTGTCCTCGGGGGTCGTCGGTGAAATCCTGAGGATGTTACGGCCATTCTCGTCGATAAAAATCTTAACGCGCTCATTTTCAATGATTGTATCGCTATTCAATTGCCAAATAACCGCGGGTTTCGGCTCACCGATTACTTCGCACTCGAAAACGGTTTCCTCTCCTTCCGCTATCAGGAGATCAGTTAATAATTTGACGAACTTTGGGGAACTTTCAGTAGCTTCCACTGCTCTTGCTGGTATATTTTTGTTTGTTTCCAATGTAAACATGAGAAATATAAAAATTTCGATATAAATAATGGTGATCGTATATCATACCAAGTTTTTAATAATTTATAATAGTAGTAATAAAATTAAAAATTAATAGGTTTTAATGGTGTTGTTAATTTTTTTTTTAATTTAAATAAATTAAAAGTTATTTAATGAAAATAAACATTATAACTTATAAATTTATAAATTAAATTTGTTATTAAAATTAAAACTAAAATTTAAATAAATTTTATATTAAAATTTAAGCACTTTAAAAATGTTTTTAGTAGTTTATAATAATTAAATTTTTTCATCCAATCCCTTAAACATAATTAAATACCAATATTATAGTAACCAATGGATTGAATGATTGGATTTAATTTTATTAATATTATTATTCTATTTCCAAATTATAATTCTACTAATATTAATATTTTTAAACTTATAAATTAATAAACTATTATACATGCAATTAGAGGCATGCTAATTTTCATTAAGAATTAGATAAAATTTTTTTTGAAAATTCTAAAAATAAATATTGAATACCGATGTATCCAGTGTATTTTAACAATCTTAATGTAATTCTTGTCGGAGCTCTCAAAACACTTTATTGTATTTTTGAATTTGTTAAATAAAAACTTAATACCTCAGTTAACATATTACAACTACTATCAATTTTAGAAAAAAATGTTAGAGTGTTTTATAATAAAGCTAAACTGATTCTAACGAATAAATGCTAACTTAAATTCAACCTACCAGAAAAACTATTTAATAATTTAAAATTTTATATTTCACTTATAAATATTTTCAGTCAAGGAAATGGATGAAAAATTAAAGGATTTTGTTTTGGGTTATTTTGTATTTTAAATCGCATATTGTAAACAATTCAAATTCCAATTATACATTAATTTAATAGAAATATATACCGTATTTACTCATATTTAAGAAAAATTTATCAATAAGAAGTCAAAAATACATGGAAACTTTCACTGTGCATCCTTATATAAATTAAGCACTGTTAATTTGTAATTACCTTACAAATTAAGTATAAAATAAATTAATCATAGTTTATACATGATACCTCATGATATCATACACATGATATTAAATAATATTTTATGTTACAAAATGTCAATATATATAAAATTCAATACTCACGAGTGATCGATAAGGTGCATTCACTTGACGCTTCTCCGCCAGCATTAATCGCGACGACTTTGTAAATACCAGCATCGTCAAGGAAAGCTTCATGCATCACTAAAGAACATCTATCACCTTGGAAGAGCAGTTGGAAATCTGCCGATTCCTTAACTGGTCTGTCATCGTGATACCAAATAACCTGAAATTCATTTAATTATCTTTTAGATTAATTTAAAACAATAAGTTATAAATATTTTTAATTTTCACGAATTAAGTTCAAATTCAAATGGTCTCGGTATAGAATTTTTTTTATTATTTATACTTTCTTTTACGTTTCGTATTTGATAATAGAATATTTTTGTACTAATAAATCATTATTAGCAATAAAGCATTATTTCACTTTTAATTATTTTAAAAGCATTATAATTATTATTAATAAATAGATATACATGCTAGTCGCAAGTTTCGTTTATGTAATTTAAAATGCTAAAAGTAAAAGATTGCATAGACACACGATCACGTTCACGTAATAGTCCATGATTAGCATCGGATGAAGAATGAAATAACAAACGTTATTTTTATACAGACTGATAGATTGAGTACAATTTTGCAATAAAATACTAATAACTTATGCAGTCGATGACATATTTAATGTTTGATTTTATTATTTGTTTCATAATGAAATAAAAAATTGAATGCAACTGATAATAAATAAATATAATAAATATAATGTAAATAAATGTATTGTAATAAATATTATTTTCAATTTCTTTTATTTAGAATAATATTGATAGAATTAAATTTAGCAAATGGAATAAATGCAAAATATTTATATAATCAAAATTAGGCTCAATAAAAATTAACTTTATATTCTATTATAATTATTTTGTATGATAATTAAGGTATTAATTTGTATAATTAGCTTTGTAATATATTGTAATTTCTTGTAATAAAATCGTCTAAAGCTGTATTTTAATAACAAACATGTATATGAATAATGTAGTTATCAAATTTATTGATTAATATTTATCGTTTAAGTACGAATAAAAAGTATTAAGAATATCATATTATAATTTCTATGTAAAAGCAGATTGATTTTATTGATAAACAAGTGCTGCATTAAAAAATTTGTTTTGTTCGAAATATTTAAAAACTTTTATAATATAAATTTATAACATCAGATTTATAACCTTTCGATTTCCAAAATTTGAATAATTTATATAACTATTATTATCAAAATTATTCGCACAATGCGAAAGCATAAAAACATTCATCATGCTAACAACGCTACTTCATATCTTTCATACCTCCGGCTCGGGCTGTCCAACGATGATACAGTCCAACCTAGTACTTGCACCCTCAACGATGGAAAGATCCTTAAGTGGTAGTTGTATCCTTGGTGTTCTCGGCTCTAAATCTCGGACAAGCGGTAATTCTGGTCCTTTTAGTTCCATATCTTGGATGGGTGGTAGTTCTAATTCCTTTACCTGTATAAGCACTGGTGTTGGTTTTGGCTCTTGAACCTCCCCTTCAATTACAGGCAGCAGTTCCAGTTCTTTTGATTTTTCGAATATAGATGGCGATTCGGTTTCTCTTGGCTCCTGGAGTACGGGCTTAACCTTGTCAGGAACGTCGCAGTCGATCTTAGTCTCACTAGCCGCATTATATGTCCTTACCTCGTATTTGCCTTCATCCTTAGACGGGGCCTCTAGTACACCGATGCTGCACTTAGCGGCTTCCACGTCTGCACGAATCTGCCGGCAAAGAAGTCAATTCATCCCGGGGTCATTTCCTCGTCCTTTTCTCCTTTTTTTGACGCCGCTCCTGCCTCTCGTCCCTCGACCCCGCGGTTCCCCTTTACTCATCGCTCGGATTCGCTCGGCGAAGGTGAGAACAACCGAGTGAGCATCGTACATAGGACCAAAAATAGCGAGCGAGCCCCGAGGAAGCGCGGATGCGAGACAAAGAGACAGAGGCAGTGCGACGACCAATTTAGACAAGCGGGTCTTCTGAATTATAGGACTTGGGTTAAGGGCTACATAGTCACCTTTTGTGAATTTTTGCCTAGGAAAGTTATAAACTGCACTTTATTTGTGCAAATAATTGTTTTGATTCATAATTTTCTACATTGGCCTCGTTACTATATAAATTTTAGGATTTTAATGTGAATTGAAGAATAATAAATGTTTGTTTTATATAGGAGTTCCTTGTATAAAATTTCGAATAAAATACGCAGTAAATATGCAAGATACAATTACTTATTCTCATATTCATCTTATATATAAATATTTATTTATTAATTTTTCAAGTATATATTAAATTACCAATAAACATAATATAATAATATAGAAAAACAAATTTATTATTCTATATACCCATTAAATTAATGAAATTTGTTTTTATACGTATGAGATTATTATACACTATCTATTCATCAATATTTTTCAAACAATAAATACTTTTTATTTTTATTTCTTTTGTGTATATATATATATATATATTATATATATATATATATATAAACATGTGTTTATATGAATTCGCTAAAACTTATTCATATCTTTAATAATTATTAAAAAGAAAAATTTCCCGTGAAATTAACGTATAGTTAAATCATATAAAATAATTAATAAAAGTTTTAGCCTTATTTTTTATTTTGAAATAAAATGTATTATTTTAATGTTTTATTTTTATAAATTAACACATTTAGACTTAGTTGCTTAAAAATTGTAATTTACAACACATTATTATTAATTGAAAACTTATTTATTTTAATATTAGCAATTAAGAGTTCAAATAGATTGACTTAAAAACATACATAGAGTATTATGGTTTTTTTTACCTTTACATGATCATCTTTGTTCACAGTAATTCTTTCATGTGTCTGAATATCTTCTATAACAGAATTTCCAATTGACATGCATTCTAATATAGATGCCTCTTCAGAGTCTTTCATTACATTCGATCTTTTGTCCTTTGATACTAAAATAATTTTAATATTATATTAAAAACATTTTAGAAACATTATGGACATTATAGAAATACTATGCATTTTTATTTTAAATAATATAAAATTTCGAATTTAAATTAGTATATTATAATACAATTTTTAAATTATATCTGAAAAAGAATGCACATGTTATATCAATTTAAAAATATCGAAATAAATAAGACATTTAACAATAAAGAATCTTTAGCGTTTCAGTGATTAAAGTAGTATAATAGTAGAGATTAAAGTTATATAATTCAAATGTCAATATTTTTAAAAATTTGTCGAACATTTTAATGTTCTTCGATGAAAAAAGAAATTTTTAAGATTGATTTATAAATTGTAGAAATAACTATTTATTTTACCTTCTACCGAGAGTGTCGCAGCTGTGGAGGCTTGCCCGATACGATTAGCAGCTTTACATGAGTACATGCCTTTATCATCTAGGCATATTTTCTCAATCTTTAAAATTGCCTCACCATTATTATATGTTGTAATATAATCCGGTGAATTGTCGACATTAATGTTATCTTTAAACCATTGTACTGTAGGTAATGGATTTCCCTGTACTTTGCATTCCAATTGATGCGAAATATTTTCATTTGCCACCGAATGACTCAATTCTTTCACGAATACGGGTGGATTCAATTGCTCTTCAGGTGAAGTTTCTGTAGACAAAATTATTTCAACATTAAAAATATTTTTATATAAGTATTAAAAAATATAATATATTTTGTATATTACAATATTTATAAAGTTAATTATTTTTATTAATTTACCAACAAATATTAAAAATTATTTTTAATCGCTTTTTCGAATATAGTCATTGCATTTTTATAAATACGTAATTCTATAATATGATGATGAAATTTTAGTCAGACGAATAAATATTTAGAATAATAAATTCAATTAGATTTTGAAATATTGTTTTGATTGGTTGTAAATAAAATTAAAATTTTTATAAATAAATTGCATGCATTCGATGAAAGACGAAAATAAATTTAGAACATTCTATCTGAAATTTGTTGGCATGTTTACATCACTAATCACGTTTCTCTTGTTCTTTATGTAGTTGATAAATTTGGAAAATCTATGTATTTTTCTTAATTAAATTTCAATTTTTTAAAATATTTAGTTAAAAGTTGTTATTACGTTTTGCTTAAAAAATGTTTTAGTTGATATTTAATCCTTAAACATAATAAAGATAATATTTTATTATATTGAAGTAATTATAAATTATATATTTAATTTAATTTTTTTTTTAATATTGAACTTTTTTTTATATTGTCTAATATAAATATCGTAAAATAAATAAATTGAAATGATTAATCGTGAAATTCTAGAATCAGTGCAATGGAAACAGATACAATTAATATTAATTTATCATTGAATAGACCAATCACTTTGATAGATGATGATTCCTAAATGATCGTGGAAAATGAGAACTGAATAAATGATATGATACATCTTTCAAAAAAATAAATTATATTATTTTCGTACCTTTGACAGTCAAAACAGCTTCAGACTCAACAGTTCCCATTGCATTGGTCGCCTTACAAGTAAATTTAGCCGTATCTTCAGCAAAGCTTTCCTCGATCATCAATGTACATAAGCCACTATCTTCATACTTTGTCAAATAATCTGGATTATTTACAATCGGAATACCATCTTTGTGCCAACTGATCTCTGGTTTCGGATAACCAACTATGCGACACTCGAAAGTGAATTTTTCACCTTCTTGGATTGTCGCATCGTAAAGTGGAACTGTGAATTCGGGGTTAACGGAAACTTCAACTACGCTCGGTACGATCTCCTTCTCATGAAGAATTATTGCCTCATCTTTTACAATCTTGTCTTGTTCTATTATTGGATAATGCTCTTGCTTGATAGTAGAAATGTGCTCTTCCGCTATTTCCGTCTGTATCGTTAAAATCCAATATTTATGTTTTGTATGAGCAAATTAAAAATAATGAGTTAATAACATGTTTTGTTATTATTAAATTATTAATTATTTTAATTAAAAACAATTTGTTATTATTTCATACTAGTTTTAATTATAAAATTGAGTATCAATTCGAGTAGCATTATTAGAAAAATGTATTGAAAATTGATGCATAAAATAAAAATAAATAAGGTAAAATGAATAGTCTCTATTTTAATTACATATATCGATATTTGTTATAAATTTTATAATTTAAAAAAATTCATACAAATTATAATTATTATTTATATCATTTTATTATAAATATTTCATCATTAAGAATTTCAACTATCTATCTAAAATGTTTTAAGTTAATTAATATATTTACTTGAAATAGTTCAAAATAAAATGAGATTTAATGAAAATAAATATATATTAGTATTTGACATTATTATTATTTCAAGATATTCAACATAAATAAAAAAATTTATGAATTTTATAAAAAAACGAAATTATATTATATTTAACACGAAATTAAAGTACATATAAAATTCATATGAAGCAAGTCATTCAAATACATATGTCAAAATGTCAGATTTTAGTACGTTCTACTTATTTTTTAAAAATTTATATTATTCTGATTTACATAATTTTAACAATTTGAAAAAAATATTATAAACTTAAAAATGTAAAGGTATATTTTTGTTGAACACGAAATATGGATTTTCTTTCGCAAAGGTAGAATATATCTAGGAATATTCTTAATATAAAGTCACACTCCATTATTGAAAAAATTGTATAACCAGAAATGCAACTTTCTAACGCTGCTAAAAATCTAGAATAAAAAAAAATAATAGATTCACTGGAATCATACCTTTTCCATGATATGAATCTCTTTGGTAATGGTTTCGTGCACAAGGTTCTTAAGGGGCGCGTTCACAACCTCTTCAAATTGGATTCTATTGGTGATTTCTTGACGGTTCTTTTCCTCCACGCGAATCCTCTCTGCTTCCAGAAGACCTATCCTGCGTGCCTCCTCGGCTGCTCTCTCGAGCGTTTCCGCGGCGACGCGTTCGGCAACTCTCCGTGCCGTCTCAGCTTCGGCAGCTGCAGCTTGGGCTGCGCTTACCTCAGCCCTCGCCTCCCTGATTTTCGCGTCCGCTTCTTCACGCTCGAAGCGGATTTTCTCTCGCACGTCCTCGGCGTTGTAAAGATTCTCCACCAATGTTCGCAACTCTGATGAGATCACCGCAAATGAGTCCAGCATCTCACGGTTCTCTACCACCACATCGCTGAATTGGGGCAGCCGATTCGTCCCTGTGATTCGTTCATTTGTTTTTATGATTTTCAGCCTACTATTTGCATTTATTACAGTGCTACTCTACTAGAAATTGGCTAGCATAAGATTTTATATTTTTTCAAGAAACATGTACAACCCAGTGTTATATTTCAGTTGATAATAAAATATACTCCTGTCTTATTAAACTAAGCTTATAAAATAATTATATTAAACAATATAACTATTGTTTATATAAATAAATAACTAATATATAAATATATAAATATATTATATATATTATATTATATTTATATATATTATATATATTATATATATTATATATATATATATATATATATAATTATATATATAATAATATATATAATATATATATATAATTATATATATATTATATATATATATATATATATATAATATATATATATATATATATATATAAAACTATAAGTAAATAAATAACAATATAAAACTACCTTTTTATAAATTAAAGTAAAATTAATTAAATTACTATGATTGAAAATTGATTAATTTCTAATGGATTTTACTATATCACATCAATATAAATAATAAATATCAAATATTTTTTAAATCTTCGAGAAAAATAATGTTCACAGATAATTCAATAGAATTTGAATACAGGTTTTATAATTAATTCAAATGTTTCTTTATAAATACACCTAACTAAAATTTAGTATATCATTTATATAATTTTTCAATAATAATCAATTCTTTTATATACAGACGGTTCAAAAGTTCTTAAATACTTTATATTACTCTATATTTTACTGACAAATATTATTTTCGTAAAACAAAAATAAAAATAACTTCTAAACAAGATGTAAAATATCAATAATGTCTCATAAATAACTCAAAGTTATTAAGAATATTTTGCGTGCACCTTATTGCGAAATTACTATCTGATATTTTCTATCTTTAGTTATATATAGAATAGTCAGTATTATAGAAGATTATTGCAAAATTTATATTACAATCTCTTTTGCACTTTATAAAATATAAATAATTATGAATATATGTTAATATTAATCTAAAATTTTATAGAAACTTTTATTTCAAGTAAAAAAAAAAAAAAAAATATATATATATATATATATATATATATGTATATATATATATTATTTATTCAGAAGCTAAATTTTTCATTATATAAGATTTATGTAATCAATTAGTTACACCGATCATTTTCTTTGAATATGATATAAAGGAATGAGTAAACTGTAAACATACACTTGAAAATATGTTCAATCTTAAGCAAATTTATATCAAATATAATTTATAGAAATTGTATATTTCAACTTAAGTATAAATTAATGATATTTTACTTTTAAAATATCTTCTAATTATTTTGTTTAATTTTTTAACTTTTTAATATTTTCTTGATAAAATAATAGCTAGTTAGATTACATTTTTATAAACTATACAATTTTGTTTACATTATAATTTTATACATTATATTAGGTATATTAAAAATATACTTGAATAGATTTATTACAAATTTCTATATTATTATAAATATTGTAAAACGTTTATTCACCATTAAATATTTCTTTGATTTTAATCATAAATAATTGTAATTATATCCAATATAAATTAATTTTTATATCTTAAGCAATTAAACACATTACTTTTTTAGTCACAATAACAATCGCCATTGATTACATAGAACTTGCATATATTTTTTATTTAAATATAAGTATAATGTAATATTAAAAAAATATATGATCATAAATAAATAATATTTACGACTTAAGGTTATTTAGTACTTTTAACCTTACCAAATATTCTGGTTGATAGTTCTTTAATTCTTTGTATTCTTTTTTCTTGTATCTCTTCACCAGGTTTTAAAAATGTATTAATATTTTTAAGAAGGATTGTAGCATCCTCTGGAATTTTTACAGAGGTTGCTTTTCTTGCAACCACAATTAAAAGTTTACTTCCTTCTTTAAACCATTCTTTTGCTTCTTCTAACAGCTTAAAGTATTCAATACTGGCATTAATTTTCTGTCTAGTAATTTCAGTAAGATGCTTTAAAGTTTTTAGCTTATCTTGCAAACCTGTCAATTCTTTTTGCACCTTAGGCAAGTGCTTACCAGCTGATATTTCGGTATTCGTTACAAATTCATGTATTCTTTGCGATAGAATCTGTAAATATATACAATATATCAATTTATTGAAATAATTTCTATTTAAATCATTTTAAATAATTAAAGAAGATTTTATTTATATTATTTTTTACAGTTGAAAAATAATATCACATTTCTACAATTAAGTTAATTTACCATATAGTTGTATATTCGTGCAAGTGAACGTAAATATTATTGTAAAAACTATATTTTACATTCTGCGATTTGAAATAAAATACTAAATTAGTTCAAAGGAATTCTTATTTTTATTTAGTAAAAATAAAAAAAAAATACGTATAATTAATAACGATAAAATTTAATGTATACTTTTCTAAATTTAGATTAGTATTTATTAATTAAATTAGTATTTAATTAATAAAAATTATATTGAAAAATTAAAATTAAAAAATTAAAATAATAATTAAAAATTAAGCTCTAATTGTTACGCGTAAAGTAAAATTTATATATGTAAATATCATGAATATCTTACATCCAATGTTTTTTCAAATTGTAAGAAAGCTTCAGAAGCTCCTTTCGCTGTTGAGAGACTTTCTCCTAACCAACCAGTAATTGTTGCTAACTGATCTGCTAAATCTCGCAATTCAGCATTAATCTTATCAAGATCATCTCCAAAGAGGCAAAAATCTAATCTTTCTTGAAGACGTATTTTCGTTGAACTTAAATACTCATTCCAAATATCGACAATCGACTTGAATGATTGATTAAGCTTGTCAATATCATCAGTAGCCACTTCCAGTGGTTCTAAATTTTGCACTTTGATAATTATTTTCTCCGATTCTTGTTTAGCTCGTTTAAATAATTCTGACGTCGATCTGGTAAAAGAATCAAGACGTTCTAAAAGTACGCGTACTTCGTGAAGAGACTCTTTATTAAGAGTTGACGAAGATTCGGCACATTTACGTTGAGCGTCGATTTCTTGGTCCACCTTGCAAAATATTATAATTATTCTTTGTTATATTATATAATAGATTTACAAAATTATCAATAATTGGTATTTAATTTTTGAAACATTGTTTTACATCGATATATTCTCATTTTATTTCTTAATTAATAAGTAATTTTGTATAAATTTTTATATACTTATTAAAAACTTTACGACATATATAATTAGTAATTATAACTTAACACACCTGCGCAAGTTTCTCAAATACAGAAATGAGATCATCGAGGAGACATTTATAATTTGACGATGTCGATCGAAGGTTTTCTGAGATTTCAGACAATTTTCTTTTAATTTCTATATTAAAATCATCATCTATTGTGTAAACAAATAATATTGTTGAATTATTTATATTATATGATACATTTTAATTGTTAATTATTTCTATAATATATAATTATAGATAATAGTACAAACTCTTAATTTACTTAAATTGAATAAATTTTATACATTTATAAAAATAAAATATAATAAAATTGTATTCAAAAGGTATCAAATATTACATATAAAAAGTAGGAAAAATGTTTCATTAAATTTTTTATTAAATATTATTTTCAACTTTTGAAAAATAAAATATAAATATATACTTTTTATTGCAAATTCTTCAATATTTTTAATTCTTAAATCTAATTCAATAACGACGGCATGTAGTTCAGGAAGAATTTTTATTTTTGTATTTTCCAGATTGTTCACTATTTCTATTGGCTTCGTTGATTCACAATTTATCACAGGATAAAGTTTTTCTTTGAATTTATAAACCCACTGTATAATCTAAAATAAAATTAACAATAAATTTACATAAATTGTATTTAAAAATTTTTAAATAAATAATAAAAGCTCACTTACTTTTGTACTTTCTTCTAAACGTTTTTCTTGTTCAATTCGAAGTTCTTTTTGTGCTATTACGGTCGTTACTAAGTTTTCATATTGTTGTGTTACATTAAATTGACGACTTCCAAATTTTTCCAGTATTGACTCAATGCAGAGGCAAGCTCGAGATATATCAAGATAAGAATCAACAATCTAAAATGAATTAAATATGTAAATATATAGCTTCTTAAAATTTAATATAAAGTTATTATGTTAATAAAGTATTAACTTGAAAAATGTAAGTGATTCCTTTAACTTTTTATTATACTTCCTATATACTTTATAAGATTTCAATTTATTATTATAAAAAAAGTGTTTGTCTTAAAACAACTAATAATGGTAAAATAATTATGATTATTAGAAATTATACTATATTCTTTTTACCTTTGTACTTTCATCTAAAAATTGTTTGCCTGCAGTAGTAAGATTAATATAATGAGGTTGTAAGACAGCCCAATTATTTTCTAAATTTTTCATATAAGCATCATTCATATTATTTCCATTTTGTTTTAGGGCGTCTTCAATTTTATCTAATTCTCCATCCAAATCAAATGCAGCTTTATGAAAATCCACATACATCGAGGCCAACTTTAATCTGGCCTCTAAAGCTCTGCGTGACATATTCCAAGAACTTTTAAGAGCCTCGATCTTGCCAAAGATGTCTCTTCGTTCAGTCTCCTGTAGATATTCTAATACATCACCTGGGATGGCTTCATGTTCGAGTTGATAAACTTCGTGAGCACGTTTATCAAGATCATCCAAAAGTTGCACATGAAGCTATTTAATTAAATTATTTATTTAAGTAAATTTGTGTTATAATGTTGTATATATAATGTTTTATATTTTTTATTCAATTTTAAATAATTATAAATAGAAAAAAACGATTAAATTATTTTAATCGTATTGTATATTTATATTTATTGTACATTTTTATAGCTCTAATGTTATACTAACAGCATGGACTATTTTAATTTTATATTTTAATAATTATGAGCCTTGTAAAATGAAAGAAATATATAAAAAATTAATTTTTTAATACGCGTGATCTTTTTAGATTTTGCAAATAAAAATTTGAATAAATAACTTTTCTGAATGAGTTGAAACAATTTATTTATAAGTTGTGTTTTTAAATAGCTATATAATATATATATATATATATATATATCAGTTCATATTATAAAAGATTTTGGCAATTTTATAAAATAAAATTTTTTTATTATATAAATTATTATATAAATTTATATACCTTATAAAAATCTTGAGCCATCGGTAAATTACTACCCATATCCTGGTGACCCCTCAAGAAAGATTCAACAATACTGGAAAGCCAAGTTGATAATCCCGCATATTTCTCGAGGAAACAACCAATGTAGTGTGAAATTCGCACATTTTCTTCGTGATGAGCTGTACAGCGACCAAATAATTTTATTTTCCGATCTTCAATCTCTTCCACTGTACGTCTTATGCCCTAGTAAAATAATGAACGTAGATAATATTGATGTAATCATAAAGAAATAATAAAAATGGTATATATAAACAATATTCTTTTTCGCAAGTACATTATATATATATATATACACAATACATTTATTGATATTCTACGTGAAGGAATAAAATTCATAATAAAATTATTGTCACAATTTGCAACTTATAATATCAACAGATTAAGATCCGATAAATGAGAAAAATCATGCTAATGAATAATTTGTATGGATTTCGATCGCAATGCAGACTACAGCAAAATAATTTCAAATCTCAATCAAGAGAATCTGATGATCAGAGAGAGAAAGAGAGAGGGAGGGAGAGAGAGAGAGAGAGTGAGTATGGTATACCTCTGTACCAGGCACTCCTCTTCCTGTAATTTCTAAAAGGGCGTGACCTTCGACTAGTGGTGCCGATGTTATGTCTTCCAAGGTCTTAACCGATTGAACATGAAGACGAACGAGACCAGATGAATGCGGAAGATGCTCTGTCGTGGCCAGCTGAATCTCTAATTGATCCAATTTCGTATATACCTAAAATAATTATTTATCTTTCCTCATTCATTTATTTCTAAGCTTATAATTTTTTCAAATAAAAAATTCTTACGAGTAATTGAGTTTAAAGTGAAAAATATTTTTATTGAAACTTATATACAAATACAATCATAAACGATTTTATAATCTATTAAAAGAAACTAATAAATTATTTTACAAATAATGATATGGTATATAATAGATTTTTTAATATATTTTATTATAAATATTACAATAAAAAATTAAAAGTAATATAACGTGTCCAAGTAAATATTTCAATATTTAAATATTCACAATTATGATTATCATTTTATTTTTATATTCATTTATATGTCTATTTCTAAGACATTTAGTGTTATTTAATTTATAAGCATATTATTTTATTTATAAATTAAATATAAAAAAGTTAAATCTCATATAATAAGGAATTATAATAATTTTTTTTCAAACTAAAAAGCTTACTTGTCTCATAAAAAACGACAATTTTTTATAATATCATAAATATTTCAAAAGGTAATTAAAGTTATATAATACGTGCAACTAGTCATATAATGTTAAAAGTCAATTAAGTGAATTAAAAACAAGAAAAGCAAATTCTTGTTGGCACTAATAAGAATAAATAATAGTGGTGTTATTGATTTAAGGAATATTAATAAGAAGACTCACTGATCGAGCAGTTTCGAAAAATGTTATGACTCGATTTAGCATGTGTTCGTAGTGATCAAGATCGTTAATATAATCGGCTGCAATCCCGAGTATTGCATAAGCTTGATCGGTCGCTTGTTCGCTGGCAAAGTGACCCATGGATACTAGATGTTCCGTTGATTTCGTTATTTTAATAGCTCGATCCTGGAGATCCTGCAAAAACGGTAATGCTTTATTTTCGCGTATTCATATACTACTATTGAGCCAGCAGAAATCGATGAGTTATGAGTGAATGTATAATAATTTATTCATGATAAAAGATCTGCAATGCTTATTATAGCAAAAACTTTTCACTAAAATGATATAATTTATTTCAATAATTGATTTTCCTTATTATGACATTTATTCATTTTAATGCATAGTTTATTTTCATCGACGTCCTTTAAAATGTATGTAAAAGTTAATTAAAAATTTCAATACAGGTATATACAGATACATCATTAATATTAATAACGAATGCATAAGGATATTAAGTTTTAATAGGAATTTATGTATTAAATTTTGTAATGAAAAAAATTGCAAAGTTGATTTGTACAAATTTATGAAATAAATAAGAGAAAATTAAGTCTAATACAATGCACCTGGAATCATATAATTTAAGTAATTATTTATGTGGGTGTATTGAAAAAACATAAATCTGTTAAAATTAGTATTATAAAAAAATTGTTTTTACGATAAAGAATTATGAATTAATTAAAAAAAATAATTATAATGTATTTATTAGATTTAAGCATTAAATTTCTTTTTGAAAATTCTACCAATATAATATATATATATATATTAAACCTAAATTATATTTTACGAATTATCATTTTATAAAATCTATTAACAGCATATTAAAGATATTATCTTTATATCTCTCTATGTTATATTTATTATAACGTTATTTATATTTAGATTAAAAATATAGGCAAAACATGAGAGATTGACCTAAGTATCCATTACGAGTAAAAATAATTTATATCACCTGAGTATAAAAAGATTTTACAAAGTATATTCCGAGAGGTTTATCGAATAAGTTGCTTATCAAAGTACACACACCTTAGCTTCAGCTTGTACTTTTCTTAGCTCGAAAAGCAATATTTCGGCACTTGCCGATGAATCACCGAGGTTGTCACGGCAATTGGATAACGTTCTTATCCTGGAGTTAAGTATATCCTCAAGGTCACGTAAATCAGTAGCAAGAAGTGCGAGTGCTAGGCATTGCTCGAGTTCTATTTTTCTGCTGCGGAATGCCACTTCGATTGTACGTCTCTTGTCGTGAAGTACTTCCAACCAACTTTCCACTTTATGTATTGCTACCAATGACAAAATGACAAAATTAATATCAAACATTGTTTATGATTACAGTGAAAATTCACCTTCTTTAGTTTTCCTAAAGTTATTATTACCAAGACAATAGTTTATATATTTAATTTTAGAACGAACGAGAACAATTATATTAAATGTAACGAAACTATTGGAATTACAAAACAATATTTTTATTAGCAATGAGTACTGCAATACAAAATTTAAATTCAAGACATATACTAATTAACATTTATTTTTATACTGAATAAATTATTTTTATGTGATTACTTAATAAAAATTATATTAAATAAATAAAATATTGTATATATACTAGTACTAATATGACATTTATGTTAGAATTCTTCATTTATTTAGTATGAATTTTGTACATAAAATTTATAAAATTTAATTTTTAATTTTTTTTAATATACATAATTTGAAATCATTTTCAAAAAATTTGATATTTTTTATATATTATATTATATATATATTATAATTATTCATTACCATTCCTAGCATCGGCTTTTATTCTGTCAGGTCTGGAATCAATGGTTCCTTCATTCTTAATTTCTCGTAATCTATCTAATAAAGACTTTCCATCTTTAAGAGCACCCATCAGTTTTTCTAACATTGTTTTTCTTAATTCATGTATCTTCTTTAAAAAGTTTTTTACTGATTCGATCTCAATTGGTAAAAGCTTATCATTACAAGAAATTTCTAAGGCATTCATACTTTCCCTGCATTCGGATGCTCGACTGCAATAGGATGGTTTTTTTTAATTATTTTATTACGAAAATTTATATAGATTACATTGAAAATTTTTTTTCAGACTTAATATTTTAAATATATTACATGTATAGTATTAGTACAAAATATATAAATTCATATATAGTCGTTATTATAGTATATTTATTTCATGATAAGTATAATCTAGTTCCTTGAACATAAAATTTCAATAAGATTATATTTAATCAATCGTTGTTTATTTATACTTCTTTTGAGATTTGTATATTCTTGAATTGTATAAATGATTATTTAATATTTATGAAATATTTATTTATTGCTATTACAAAAAGAACATGAAATAAAAATATACAATGATATTGATATCTAATATATTGCAGTTATTTATAATATTTATATTTATATTTTTTACTTAAATTTTCATTATGAAAACTATCCACATCGATTTATTCAGAAAAATATTAATCGTTATTTTAAACTTGATTTTTAAAGCATACTTATTACTTAAATATATAAATATATATTGGAGCGTTACCAATGAAAAATAACGTTTCTTTCTAAAATTTCCTTCCTCCATTCTAATAGTTCATTTACATCTTTCCAAGCACTGGCCAAAGTTTCGGCCATTGCTTTATATACTTCTGCTTTTGGCTTTTGTGTCGATATGATTCGGTCAGCCTTTTTTAACAATTCTTCCACCGGACTTTGCTTGCTCTAATTAATAATGAAAAATTAAAAAGATATAATAAATACATTATAAAATTTACATCAATATTAATTGTTTTATATTAAAGTTGAAAAATTTTAAACAAATTAAATTTTATCTATATAAATTATTTGTGTACGCGTCTTTTTAATTTGGATTTGTTGAATTTTTTAGTTAATTATTAATATAATTGATTTTTTAAAAGAATACAGTTCACAAATTATTATCTATTTATCTATTATAATATATATATTTATTATATATATATATATATATATTTATATATATATTTATATATATATAATATAATATATATTATTATATATTATTAATATATATATATTAAGAAATTGTTCGTTACTCATTGAACTAAACGAGATTTGAAATAATTACTGAATTAGTATCTTGATGGTGCAATAAACATTTGTTATATATTTACCTGCAATCGAAAGAGTACTTCATTATGGGCATTTAAAAGCTCTTTTGCTTCCTCTAGTGAAATACCCAGCTTTGTTAGTTCTGGCTGTACATCCAAAACTTTTAATCTCAGGTATTCTCCACTCTGGAATAAAAGGAATACACTAAACAAATTTTTCTATTTATAAATGAACCAATAATTTAATTGATTTTCATTTAAATAGTATGTAAATCTTCGCGCTAACGTATGATTTTTCAAAAATGAAAAAGTTTATTAGGTTAACATAATAGTATCATTTAATATAATAAATCTTTTTAGTTATTATTATTTTCATATATTATAATATTGTTACGATATAAAGAGTACATTATTTCTTAACTTAATTTTCAAAGTAATTAATTTCTATTATTATTATTAAAAAAATATGAACATTTATGGAAAGATTTATTCATTTTTCCTTTTATGTGAAATAATTATTAGAAATATGATTACGAAACATAAACAAATTCGACATGCAGAAAAATAATATAAAAATTGATTATATGGTAGTTAGATTGTATGTGTTCTCAATTTCTCTATACTCAGAGAACTTAGGCAAAGCACCTGTCAAACTTATTTTTGTGACAGTATATTACGCCATTTGGTGCGCGTCGTCTTATTCCCAGTAATTTCTCTTTCATAGATTTTAAATAAGCACAAGCCTGAGTAAGTTATTAAAAAAATATGTCAAATAAAAAGCATAATATACGTTTCATTATTCTGACAAACTAGCTATTTAATTATTCGTAAGGACTTTTTAAATTTCTGTTTAAAACAACTAATCCATACAAAAATGTTACTACTTAATTACGAACGTCATAACGTTTTAAGCTCTGCGGCGTTTTGAAAATAGCGGACCCTTGTGTTAACAAAGGTACGGAGGAACACGCCGTTCGTTTATGATAGTCTGAGATCTGGACTAAGCGAGGATAAATTACTGCAACACGCTATACTATCTTGTAAACACCTACAAATTAGCTATCATTCTCCAGGCGCATATGTTTGTTTATCGAATTGAAACATTGCTTTGCGTCCTGTCTTGTATCGCTATTTTACTCTTATATAATGGTACCCAAAATTGCTTTATTTTTATGTTGCTTAAATATTGTAGATGTTAAGAAATATAATTATTGAACAAGGTAAGATCAAAACATAGGTTCGAAAATGTAATAATTAAAAACCTTTAATGTTTAAGCTTTGATTGAAGACAATTTTACGACAGTAATATTAATTTATCAATAATAATGAAAAATTGCAATATACAACATAGTCTATTAAAAAGGTATGAAAGAATGGTTTCAAAGTAATTATTAATTAATTCATTAATCAATACATTCACTCAAATTAAATTATGTTATTTATTTCTATAACTTAATTATTATTTAATTGGTATACAATTTATATAATGTATAAATTGTATATAAACCTTATATAAAACAAAGTTTTATTAAAATTGAAATTTTATTATTTTATCTAATACGTTGTAATTGTATTATACAAATTTTATTACATTAATGCTAATTATTATCTATATATATTTATAGTTTTATATAAGATATTTTTCTCTTATATTGTCATAATTTTTTTTTATATTTTTTTCTTTTTTATTATTCCTTCCTTCCTACTCTTTTTTCCTACTTGACTTTTATTTCTATTCAACTTTACTATCACTTTTTTGTAAACCTTCTTTAAGTAATATAATTTATTAATTTATTTTACAATATCTCAAGTGATGTAATTACATTCTATTATCGTCAATTTCAATAATATTATGCTTTATGAATAAAAGATATGAATTTATTACTCAAACTCTAAAGCATCTTTAAGATATGCTAACTAATTTACAATTTTAATACAAAATATTCATATAAGAAAATATTTATTTTTACAAGAAACAGTTTATATATATATATATATAATTTAATTTCAATAAAATTAAAAAATTTAATATTTATTTCAAGAATGTACTTTAATCGTGATTATCAATTAAGTTAAACTTATAAATTAATTAAATTTTTGAAATATTTTAATGCAGATACTAGTTTTTTTATCTAATAAAAAATAAAACAAAAATAATAAAAATGACATATATATATATATATATAAATACAGAATATTTGTATAATAATTTATAATTCACTGAATATTGTTTAGCAAGTAACAGTATATATAAAATATCCTTCATGGAAAGGTACGTTACTTAAAATATTTACAACGAACATCTTAACATCATGAATATACGTATGCTCTATTTAAAAATATATAAAGATTCTATTATTGAATCGAGTTATTTATGTATATTATGCATATGTATAGTTGATTTTTCATTTACCGTGACTATATCACTTTATCTACGTCATTTACAGGGACAAACTCTTACATATTTAATAACAACAATTTAATATATTCTAACCTATATAATAATTTATTTATGTAGTACAATTTATTAATTATCAGTTCAATAATACTTTTATGTATTATTTAAGACTATTCCAGGTCTTATATTTCATATAAATATTGTAGATATTAGTCCCATTTATAGCAACTCTTAATAATCTAAACTTTAAACATAATTTTTTTTATTTGATTTAAATACTTTAAATATAATTTTCCTATGAATGACAGGTATATTTTAATACTAATACTGTGTAAGAAATTTAATGGAAGGATGTAAGAAACAAATAAGTTTTATAAGCATAAAAATAGCATTGCTGTTATATATATATGTAAGAATAATATTTTATATTTCATACATGTTAGGATTATTTCGGAATATTTAATAATCTTTAATAAAAATTATCAATATACATGCTAAAATTATTATCAATGGAAAATTTTATTTGAAATCTATAAAAGTAGTAAAATAAATATCGTCGCAGCTAATAATGTGAATATGAGTAGTATTAAAATAGTGTGTTTTAATCTGAAATTGAATGCGCAAAATGTTAAGAACGATCGAAATCTTCTTGCTTTACTAATACTTAATAATAAATAATACTTCGCATATAGCCGAGTTTCAAAAATTTGTAAAATAAATTAATAGCATAAAATGGGTATATGGTACATATGTCATATTTGTAAATACATGTATTTGATCTGCCTCAAATAACTAGAAATTGAATTTAAGAAAAGAAAGAAGATGCGTAGCCTTCATTTTTTATAGAAATTCAGTATGTAACTTTTAACCATTTATATATACAAACCCGCAGTTACTTTGACTACATTATTGTAAATGATCATTTCTATTTCTTGTTTAAGTTCTTATGGTTGGTTATTTTCAAATCGATGGTCACGTTATCCTTTCTAAAAGATCGATTCTCTGTAACTAAGTCTTACGAAATATTAGTACGTCAAGCTCTAGAAAATTTATGTTACTATAGAGGTTTTATACATTTTTTTCCTAGCTTTGTTATTATTATCGCTCATAAAATAAATTACGGTCATATTTTTAAAACACAACCCGTAAATATAAGCCGTTCATTGAATTTTTATAATTGAATGTTCGTGCTTTATTACAAGCTATTTATTCTATTTATTGATAAATTTTTTGACAATATATACAAAATAATCATCTAGTTACATGTTAAAAATTAACTAAAAATCAATAATAATAATTTATAATATATTTTCTAGATCTATAATATATTTTCATTTTTACTATTATTAATCTAAACTTGATTTTTTACAGAGAATATTGTTACTTAATACTAATAATAGTTATTATTAAGAAGTTAATTGATAGTAACAAACTAAATATTAATAATGTAGAAGGAAAATATAAAATAGTATTATAAATATATAACTATTATGAAAATATAAGAAAATTATTACTGTACATTTATTTCAAAAGGATAAAACAAGATTTTTTTTTAAATAAAAGATTTTTTTATTGAAGAAAAAGAATTAAAAAATGGTAATGCAAAATTTGTAAGGAATACAAATTTATAAGGAGTTCAAACAAGGAAAAGTTTATATTTTAAGTACATTTTCTCCTTTCAATTTCACGAAGAATACAATTATAATATAACTACTTCAAATTTTTTAAATATTATAAATTTTTGAATTTCAAAAGTATCTAGATTTGAAGGTATAATTATTCAATTTTATCAAAAGATCATTATCAATTTATTTTAATAAAGTAATTAAATAAATCTGTACCTACTTTTAAAATACTTTATTAAAATAAATTCTATAGTTAAAACATATAGAAAATGTTGCTTACAAATAACAAATCAAAATTATTTGAATAATAATTTTTGCGAAAAGGGCAATCAAGTTTTTATTAAAAGTTGTTTATATCTATCGAATAATATTTAAATAATAATTTAAAAAATTGGTTCTTGAAATATTTCATATATTTATAGTAACCGTTAGATACATTACACTATTTGCATTAAATTTTGTGTGTGCACGCGTGTGTATTTATGTATGTAAACAAGCTTAATGATAAGAGAACAATTCAAGAGTATAATAAATTTAAACAATATAGAAGGTAAATGTTTAATACATTATCGGAAAAATATTTCCTAGTACAATATTATACCTACAGTGATTTTTAAGGTTTATAGATCTTTGCTAACAAGTTGTGACTGTTTCACATACATTCCAAATGCAGGCAAAATTGAAATCAATAAGAAAGAAAGAGAACGCAGTTCCGACCAAAACGGGAGAGAAATTAACTTCGTCGCGTGCATTGAATTCTCAAGGCTTAAAGGTAACATAGTGTACATGCATTAAAATCACATACATGTATGTGTATTTTAAATTTTTCTTCCATATACCTAACGTACCTTTCACATCATATATGCTATGTGATTATTACACATTCCAATTAAAGAAAAACCAGATGAAGAATAAACATAACATTCGACCAAGGATGACGCGTGTATTACATGGGAAAAAAGTCTGTATGTGTTTCCATTTTCATCTTTGGCATGCAGCCAATCTCAACTCCTCCTATATACCCATACTCGTCCTCTCTGTCGAAGGACCACCCGCAAATATTTAACAGCTTGCTAACAAAATTTCTTCATTTAATTTCGATCGATTTTCTGAGTTGGAAATCTCTCACACATGTACTGGTGTATATATTATCAGTAACGTTA